AACATGCTCTTAGGCTTGTTCCATAGAAAATCTATTACAACACACTTATTGGCAAAATGGTAGGAATCACTTAAGAAGATAAAGAAAACCATCAACAAAACATAAATGGTTAAGACCGAGAGTCATAACATCAAATCACCATCGAGAGCCGCATGAATAGTTTGCTTAACAGTGTAATTGTTTTAGAAAATATATATATACATTTTTTTGTCAACAATATGTATACATTATACAACAATGTAATGTATTTATAACTTTTGTATCTTTACACTATATATGGTATACCGAAAAAATTGCAAAAATAAAAGTCCAACTATAGAATTTGAGATGTGAATTAGAAACTCAACTTATTTCGACGAATGAAATAAAAACGTAAGCTATTTCAAGTTTTTCAACAAACAAATAAAAACTCAAATACATGAATTGTTTAAATAATGAAAACAAAACAAATTAAACAAAGAAATTTTTAATCACTTCTACATATAAAATACAAGAATTAGAAGAAGAAAAATATGGAAATAAATAAGCTTAAAAAGCCGAGTTCGTCCTAAAGGAACCTCTCAGACACGATTCCCGAGATAGCCACCAATGAGCTTCTCCGTCGTCTGTGTTTCCGGTGAACGGAAAGCCTCACTCTGACCGGATCTCCTTGGCTCGAGTGAGATTTTGTTTATTTTCTGTCGATGCAACTTGAACTCCCTCCGATGTTTGCCTCCTCGCTGCCTCACCCTGCAATGACAAACAAACCGGAACTGCTCAGTCCTGCTCTGCGTCGGAGGTTGATCGTCCTGTCGCCTCTGTACCCTCCGGCACCGCCGGAACCACTAGACCCACCGGATCCGACGAACCGGTTTCGACAGCACAAAGATTCTATATATCTGCTTTTGTGCTACCGCCGACACTGGATCATCACCGCCCACTCTCCCAATCTTCCCTGTCGGGTTCATCTCTGGCTCGGCAAAGAACAAGATTTCCACCGACGAGATCTCTTCTCGTCACCGTCTCAAAGGAGCCCCCCACCCTTGCCGTTCAATCTTATTGTTCCGGAATGGGAAACCGGACTTCTCAGCCACCATCATCACTCCGTGCGGCACTGTCAAAAAAATCCACCTCTGGGGCCGACTCTTCTCCACCTCGCTTCGATCCCGGGCTCGAGACTATGTGTCACAGTTTCATACTCGAAGGCAGAAGAGCCCATGTTCTTCTCCCTCGTCGCGAGATATGGGCGTTCCCAATCCTTTTCTCGCTGGCAAATATCCCCGTTCCAGCAAAAATGTAGACGAGGCGCTGAAAACCTGTATCCCGTCACCCTTCTCGGCGGTGGTTTGCCCCGAACACTCGCCGTCGGCCTTCCTCCGATATGCCTAGCCCCATCTCTTCAACAACAATCAGGTTAGGGCTCTTCAAACGAGTGGGCTTTTAGGCCCAAAAATATTATTTCCCTTTGGCCCATTTAAAAAGCCACTTCCCCTTCAGATCCGAATTTTTCAAGTATGGGGCTTGGTCCATGTGTTTTATAAGGGGTTGGAAAACCCAATTTTCACCTCAATGTTCTTTAAATCTGATATTTTCTCTTATGAGAGTAAACTAAAGTTTTATGGATTCTCAAATCCTGTAGTTTTTAGTGATTTTATCTCCTCTATTGAGAGAAGACATAATTTTTCTGGATTCTCAAATCCTGTAATTTACTCCCGGTGGAAGAGTCTAATTCCACCTTCTTCCATCTCTTTGAGATTGGTCGTATCTTGTTCCCTCTCTTTGAGAGCGGTCGAATTTCCGAGTTTTATGTCGGGATTTTCAAAGTCACAATGGAAAGTGACCAACCTGAGACTCTCCGGCCTTGTCGCGAAGATTTTTTTAACGCATCCGAGGCTTGTTTTGGATCCGCTGTCCATCTTCTACGATGATCTATCTGCATTATGGTTTATTGTATTTCAATTATGTTGTATTGATGTGAGAGGATACTTAATTCCCTATCTTTGTACCTTGATCAGTTAAATGAATGAAGTACGTTTGTTT